CAACTCAGAGTTCAAGTTTTAACTCAGAGTTGGTTGAACTTCCTTATTGAAACAGGCCCCAGGTATTGGAATCTACCGTCTCGTTCAACATCTGCTTTTCAACGTTCGTTTTTACAGCAGACTTGAATAGAATCTCCTGTTATTGGTCTCCTCCTGCTGATCCAGACCGGTAGGTGATTAAAACGTGTCTGTGATCCTTTTTCCTTACCTGCTTCTAGATGTTATGTTTTGTTTTGCCTCAGGTAACACAGGCTGCTCTGGGCAGAAGCCACGCCTCTTTGGTGTGTAATCACCTTTGCTAAAACCATAACCTCATTACGACATGAACCTATTCAGACTGTTTAGATGTTTTAAGAGGTGCGGGCTTGATCTTGTTATAAATGGAGTGTTAAATCTGGTACATTGTTCTGACAAAGATCCACTTCACAGACTTTTTGGAGTAGATGGATGAGCGCAAGGATTTAAATCTATGCACACACAGACAAAAAAATAATGTAACCAAACTATCAGTGATACAGTTTATTTTATTTATATGTAAAAAGGCCTTTATACAAAGGTTGAAAGATAAAGTTTAAAGACTAGATTTGGTCATTTGATGTAACTATAATAAAAGCAATAACATATAGGCCCCCATTCAAAAAATTTAAAAATCAAAAATTTTAATCCAAAATTACACAGAACTAGACCTTATAATTTTTCTTACATTAAAGAAAATTATACATAGATTTTGCTGTCAAACATTAAGCTCAGTGTAATTAGCGGAAATGATCACTTGAAGGGTTTATTGATGTGGGGGTCTGGGGGCCCTTCCCTAGAAAATTTTGCATTTCTTAGATGCATTTTCCTGCATCTGACTAAATTGTGTCCCGTTTCAGCTCAACACAGAACCATACTTTTATTTTGTTCTTTGAGCGTGGCTTGTATTTCTTGCAATAAGCTACAGCCAATTAAGATAATTAATAACTGGAAATGTTAAGTTTGCACAGTATCATCGTGCACAGAAATCCCCTCACCAAACCAATGGTGTGCTTGGCCTGGTAGAGTTTTTTTTTAGGCTATAGGGAAGATTACCGGTATTATATTAAGGTTTTTTGTGTGTGCCTATTTTTGGTTTATTTTGGTTGTTAGTTACCCGGTTTATTAAATAAATCACTTTTTGTGTGCTAAACATTTCCTGCCAACCTACTGTGGCCCCCCCAAGGTTGGAGTTGGCGTTCGCAGGTGCACAGTTTGTAGAACTAGACCTAAACATGAGGACCGTCGCCAGGAAACCATGACAAACGCCCTAAGAAGAGAGATTACTGAGTGGAGAATGCTTTAAACGGATGACGTCATAAGGGGGAGCTGAATCAAGAACAGTAGAACTCTAAGTTCTAGCTACGAGAGGGGGGGAGAGAGAATCAGGACGCTCAGACATGGGTCACAATCGCCACAGTAGAGTTGTTCAAAATTATTGATTTTTTTAGTTATTCGTAAAAAAATTTGGAACAACCGATACGGGACGCATAATTTAACTGTCAAACATGGGACGATTCCGTATTACAAGGGACGGGTGGCAACCCTAGTCACTATACCTAAAGTAGTAAAAACAAAAGCTTCTTTCAGAAATGTATGAAAAACATTTACAAAAAGAAACAAACACATTTTCTTTTTGACAACATAACCTCAGAATATTAAGCCTGATACAATTATATTACTATTAACGTATTAGCTTATTTTTTTAATTTTTAAATAATTTACACTTGGTAAAATTTTAGAGTTTGCTTCTCACAGGGGCTCATCTTATTGGACAAAATCCAAAACAATGTGGATATAAATTATGTGTTGGAAAAAGGTACAGGTGTTCAAGTTACATAAATTTGCAACATGCATGCAAAGGATGTCCCATAATACAAGCATTGCATAAATTTTAAGTTTTGAAGTGGAAAACTACTAAAATACAGTATAAGACTTCACCACATGGTCTTCTAAATGTTTTAGACAAGTAGAACTACAAGAAAATTGTATAAAATCGCAAAGTTAACTTTGGCATCTACCTCCAAAATGTACATATATAAAATGGCTTAAAGTTGTGATAACTTAAAACCCAGGCCAGATTTGAGTGAGAATTCAACCAAGGTAACATTTTAGAAAAAAAAATCTATTTTTTTTTTTTTAAAGCAACAGCCGGACACATTAATCCATGCCTTTATTTTTTCATGGTTGGATTACTGTAATCCTCTTTATCTGGACAGTCTTTACTCCTACGTTCACAGTTTCTGCAGAATTCCATTGCTTGTCTTTTAACAGCTCCATGGAAAAGCGATTACATCACCTCGATCATGGCTTCTGGAGCCCTGCATTTTTTAAAACTAGAAAATAGCTTATTTTTACATTTAATAAAAAAATGTATTTTTAGCCGACATATAATAAGTTATGAGTGTAAACTTCTACCGCCAAATTACTGTAAGCATGCTTACTTTATTTTAATTAGGATCGAATTCACATACTACATAAAGATTTTGGTATCATCTAACATTTTAGTGTTATTGGATTCACTTTGACTGACAATCATTAGGTATTACTTAAACATCCTGATTATTTTAAATGTTTTTTTGTTTTAAAACTCTTCACCAAAGATGTTTTTAGTTCTAGCTCATCTGTGATTCTATTGATAAAGTGCTGGGTAAATATATTAGAAGTATAAGCATCCAATTTAATATTTGACCAAGGTGTTGTCTTTAGTAGCATGACTGGTTCGATTCCTGGGAACTAAGATGTGTTTCCTAAAAGACTTTCTTATAAATATAATACTAAGTGAATCTATTTACCTTGCTGTCATTTTTGAAACTGAATGAGGATGTCTGATCCGTTTCAGTATCCTTGAATTGAGGTATTTAACAGAGAAGAGT